CGCCGCTGCGGAAGCGGCCCAGCGGCTGACTACAGCAAGCCCGAGGCAGAGTTGCTCTGCCCCGGGCTCCGTGGAATCAGCCGCTGATCAGTTTCAGCAGCAGCTGACTTGGGGACACCTGGGATAGAGCACCTGGGGTGCTGCCGGTCCCCGCAGCGCCGAGGTGTGGTGCTGCGGAGACCTACCCGGCAGCGCCCCAGCTGCTCTGTCCCAGGCGTCCAGATTCTGCTGCTGTTGCAACTGATCAGCAGCTAATTCCAGGAAGCCCGGGACAGAGAAACTCTGCTTCTGGCTTCCTGTAGTCAGCCACCGGTCAGTTTCAGCAGCGGCTGAATCTTGACGAGTTCCGACTTAAGTACAAATTCGACTTAAGTACAAACCTACAGTCCCTATCTTGTAGGTAACCCGGGGACTGCCTGTATACACTTTCTACATAAAATAAATTCTTCTTATACTTCCAAGCATTTGTTAAGAAGGCATATGCACTTTCATTCCTTAATACAACCAACAGTTAGGAATCCATTAGCCTGTTTGATGTCAGTAAATGTTCATAGTTTGATAATGGAAAACTCCCATTGACCTTAATGGGACTAGGTTTTCACTCAGAGATTTTAGTGACAAAAAAGACCATTGTGTACTTGTTGAAAATTCCAAGTGACTTTCACTGTACATAGGATTGCCAGGTGTCCTGTTTTGAACCGGACAGTCCAGTATTTGAGCTTTCTGTTTGGGAAACAAATTGAGAAAATATAAATGTCCAGTATTTTCTAAATAAGATGTAATGTAGATTGTGATGTAATGTCAAGTGTGTCTGGTATTTTTGATTAAACCATCTGACAACCCTATGTATATATAATCTAAAAGATAATCTCTCCAGTAGCAAAGTAACTTATTCCACCATGTCTGGGATTGGTATTGATTCATTACCTACTCTGAGCAAAGTGTGCCTGCTGCCTACTGAATCCCTAGTAGTGCGTCTTCTTAAAACATAGTGAGAGTATTAAAAAAGGTATCATATCCAAGTAAAGAATGGGTCATTTTATGAATTCACACACAACCCTAGCTGGTTCTGAGCCTAAATGAGGGGGATACTGACATCACTGATCCAGACTGTTGGTATCCGTAAAGCCTCTGATTTTTACTGGATATAAAATGGAGTGCATTTAAACAAACATGAATTAGTGTAATTTATGAAAGCTTTTCTGCACATTATAACTAATCCCCCCCCCCCACCCCAAGGAATCCTCATCTGAAAGTGAAAATGGCCAGCATAAGCTAAACATTGTGGTGTTCAAGGGAGAACTGCTGAGCACTATTCTTCCCCAAGAAAAAGCTAAAGTTATCCAAGCCAAAGTTGCTGTTGCTAAAGAAGACTGGAAAAATTTTCTTTCCCTGCTTCACCAGAAGGAATCTGCTTTGGAGGTATGGAACCTGTCAAACAGGGAATAGATTGAGCAGAATTTTCCCCCCTTTTCTTTCTGATCACATGGATTTTGATAGAGTGAATGCTTTATATTTCTTATTACTGAGTAAGGCCAGCTTTGCTTTCTGGTTCTTGCAGAAAGCTCAGGGCTCAGGGTCCAACTCAGGGGTGAGCAATAAGACAGCAGCAGTTTACCAGGGTTAGCCCTGGTGGTCCACTGCCACTATATTTACCTGTGCCTTCACAGATATGGGTGATTGCAGATCCCATTGGCTATGTATTGCCGTTCCTGGGCAATGGGAGCCACAGGAAGCAGTGTCGTGGTCTGCACCACTTCACGCGGCTCCCATTGGCCAGGCACAGGTATAATAGTGGTGACAGCCTGCCAATGGCTAACCCTGGGAAATCAGATCCATCTCACTGGTCTAGCTGATCACCATATGTGAGGTCCAAAAGGAATTTTTCCCTAGCTCAGATTTGGGGGAGGAGATGAGGAAGATGCCTTTCTCTGCACCACGTTTATATCTCACTTGATCAATTTCCTGGCATTACATAGGCATTGCTGTGTCTCGGTCCCTCCTATTCTCTGCCTATCACATACAATAATTTAATCTCCCATGGTCTGCAAAACTAGTCATAAGTGCCTCTCATTTGATGCCATTGGAAAAAGAGCTAAACTTAAAGGTTAAGCTTCTGCCACCCCTTCTTTAAGTAATTCTTTACCCTACAAGTCATACCATCGACTTAAATGGCCTAGTTTATATAGTAAGATACTAGACAAAGTAGATGATACTGCAAGGCTGCGTCTAGACTGGCAAGTTTTTCCGCAAAAACAGCTGCTTTTGCGGAAAAACTTGCCAGCTGTCTACACTGACCACTTGAATTTCCGCAAGAACACTGACGATCTCATGTAAGATTGTCAGTGTTCTTGCGGAAATGCTATGCTGTTCTCGTTTGGGAAAAAGCCCTCTTGCACAAATGCTTTTGCGCAAGAGGGCCAGTGTAGACAACGCGGTATTGTTTTGCGCAAAAAAGCCCCGATCGCGAAAATGGCGATCGGGGCTTTCTTGTGCAATACCGCGTCTAGATTGGCATGGACGCTTTTCTGCAAAAAGTGCTTTTGCGGAAAAGCGTCCGTGCCAATCTAGATTCTCTTTTCCGCAAATGCTTTTAACGGAAAAACTTTTCCGTTAAAAGCGTTTGCGGAAAATCATGCCAGTCTAGACGTAGCCCAAGAGTTTGAGCTTCATCCAATACACCAAATACTAAGGTGCATGAAAATATGTTGTTAAGGCAAGACTTGCCCTTGTTCCATGAATAGTTCCATTCATTTAAATAGGACAGTTCAAATAGCAAGTGAGTCTATCGGTTTCCGGTCCTTCATGCAATCGGTAGGCCATGTTTCTCTGACTGGAGATCACTGAAGTGTAAATAAGAATTGCCCAAGCAAATATTTTAATCATAGCTACAAAGTGACACCACAGTAATCTGCTTGTTTCAAAATGTCTGCTTGAACAAGCATAGAAATTAAACATCTTTAAAGCTTACAGCATATTTCCAGTCACGCACTTTTTTTAAGCCCAAAAGGGACATTGCAGAGAACTTCTGACTTGTGATCATAAAATCTCTCCTGTTTTAAGCCCCTAACTTCTAGTCAAGATAGAGAATGTATTTGGGGTCAGTTTTAAATTTCATTGACAAGAAATATAGGAAACTCTTTGGGCCAGATCCTAAACTTATGTAAATAAGAAATTCGAACAGTGGAGCTATATCTATTTAGGACTTCTTTGTCTCGGAGTGGATGTGTAGGGAGATGTCATATAGTAGATGTGGACAGTTCTGTTTTCACGGGGACTGGGATTAGTCCTCCTAAACTCAGATATTTCAGTCCCATATCATACACCTATAATTCTAACATTTATTTGAAGTGATAGTACTATGGATGAACAGAAAAGAAAATTACAGTAGTTTAAAAAAACCAGGAAAACTAAATCACTTGAATTCTGTTGGTTAGGAGTTTTTACTCCACATTGATAGTGTTAGATATTCTACTCTCAGCCAGCAGAATGAGTCCACGGGAAAAATATGCAGTCAGCAAGGACTTTTTGATGCTTACTTATTTATAAGGACTTGAGAGCGAAGAAAATTACAGTCAGAAAGTAAATACAAATTATCCTCATGATTTGGTTCAACCAAGTCTGCTGGAAAAAAGAGCTTGAAATGAACCCTTCATTCCACAAGAGATCTGTTAGTGCCTGTACACCTTAGCATACCCGTAGGATCATAGGTTGCATAATCATGCAGCAAGCATGATGGTGCATGGATTTTTTTAAAAATTTGGACATTACATGTTTTCATAGAACTTAAAGATCCAAATGAAGGACTTTGAAACAACTGTAGAGCCTCTTCAGGACTGGCTGAGCACAACTGAGAAGATGGTTCAAGAAAGCAGTAGTCGACTTCATGACCTCCCTGCAAAGAGAAAAGAACAACAAAAGTTACAGGTGATAAGGCCCTGAAAATAAAATCAGCCCTCCCCGGGCTAGTTTCCTGTGTCATGAATTCGTGATAAATGCTTGATCATTATGGTACTCTGATCTCTAACTAATCTGCGGGCTTACTTCAATCCGCAGGCAGATTTTGTGTCTCAGCACTTCCAAATGGCATGTTATGTTTCTTTTCTGTAACTATATCATATAAATAGAGATCAAATGTTGCCCTTTTTTTAAGATGCTTGCTAATGGCCAGTGCATTAATTTCCAAGTTAACAGAGCTCCTTGCTTGCTTTTTTGCCTGCTCTTTTGCACCTGCACATAATAGTAACATGCTTATGCTTTACAGTCTGTCCTTGAGGAAATAAGCTGCCACGAGCCTCAGCTCAACAGGCTAAAAGAGAAAGCTCAGCAGCTGTGGGAGGAGCAAGCTGCCAGCAAAAGCTTTATGCGCAGAGTATCTCAGCTATCTTCTCAATACCTAGCGCTAAGCAATCTAACAAAGGTAATGCACCCCACTGTGCATGCTTTCAAGCAGTTCCTGTGAAGCTGACTGATATAAAAATGAGTGGTTGAAATTCTGAAATATCACAACTGTCTTTCTACTGTATGTCTGATAAATTCTATGTCTAAGGTTTGTGGTATAGAAGGGAAAGGTGGGTGGGTGTGGACTGTTTACCTGATGGAACACTGAACAATTTTTTTTCCCGTCCATGCATTGGTCCGAGAAGAGAAACTGAGAATATAAGTGAATAGTGCATGATTCCTCACGCCCTCCAAGAATGTGATAGTTTGCAGGGAGTTAAGTTTTAAATGTGGACCTTTTGAATGAAAAAAGCATCCCATGATTTACAACATTTAAGATAATTTAGTTTGATAATCACTGTCCCCAGGAGCATTTAAGCTAATTATTTTTCAAAACTTGGTAGTATTTTATGCAGGATCATAATACTGAAATGTTGCTATTGTTTAATAAACTTTTAAGATGAGGACTTGTTATCTATATTATGAACTTTTTGTTTAGAATTTGGTAGACTGATTTCAGCATTTTTTAAAAGCATTTGTTAGCTGAGTTAGGTTGATTTTTGAATGATCAGAACAAGGTAGCATTTTTAGTGGCTTGGCCACTGCATTGAGACTTGCATCCTGTTCCCATTTATCCCACTGACCTTCTATGTGGCATTGGTCAAGTCACTTCTCCACTGTGTGCTTGCCTTTTCCCTCTTGCCCTCTGTTGTCTTTGTCTGGTTGGATTGTAAGCAATTTAGGATAAGGATTATCACTCATACGTTGCCTGTCATAGTGAAGCTTTGATATGAGTTGGTGACAAAAGGCAGAACTATAGTATAAACATTTATGAATATTAAAGGTGTTTTATTGGTTGTATCATTTCTATTTTTAATCATTAGTGGCTTGTTAATTTGCCAACTTAATGTACAAAAATAGAGACTTAAACTTAACAGAGTCATATAATTTAAAATAGTGTATACAGAGCCAGGTCATGCTCTACATGATAAAAAATAAACATGGGAAGGGAAAACGTATAGGGCACAATTTCATAAGTTGAAACTAGTGGAATTCCTTGCACATCTTAAATTCAGAGAAAGAAAGTTTGTGGTATGTGCCTTCTCATATGTGGGAATCCCAAATATCTTTACTCAAAGCATCAGGATAGTACCACTGGCTGCAGAAGGCAGTAAGTTGCCTTTCTACAAAAGTGTGTGCTCACATTACGTGCTACCAAAAATTTCAAAGTGAAGCCCTGTGTTGCGTGTGTTAAACTAATTCAATCATGAGGTGATGAAGGCATTGGTAAGGTAAGGCAAGGTCCACATATGAAAGAAAAGGATGTAAGGCCTAACAAAAACCAGTAACTGGAAACTCAGGAGAGACCAATTCAAATGAGAAATTAAGTGCAAATTAGCTATTGGAACAACCTACTTGGGAAAGTTTTCGATTCTCCATCTCTTGTTGTCTTCCGGTCAAGATTAACTGTCCTTCTAAAAGATAGTGGTAGAGATGTAGCCGTGTTAGTCTGGGGTAGCTGAAGCAAAATGCAGGACAATGTAGCACTTTAAAGACTAACAAGATGGTTTATTAGATGATGAGCTTTCGTGGGCCAGACCCACTTCCTCAGATCTAATGCTTTAGTCAGACACAAATTGTTGGGCTTAATGCAAGGGTAACTTGGTGAAATGTAATGGATTGGGATAGGAGCAGATAATTACTTAAATGTGAACTCCCAGTGAGGTGATGCTAATGAGATCCAGGGATAAATAAACTAGGAACTCTTGAATAGAAGTAGAAAGTTAATTTCATTTGTGTATTTGGTGCTTGTGTGACCACTGCTGGAATACCATGTCCAGTGCTGGTGTACAAAGTTCAAGCAGGGGGAATAGAGAAGGTTCCGAGAATGATTAGAAAGCATGCCTTATAATGATAGTTTTGGGGTAAATTGATTATAGCCTGTAAGTATCTGCATGAGGAACAAATATTTAATAGTAAGCTCTTTAGTCTAGCTGAGCGAAAGGTATAATATGATCCAGTGGGTGAAAATTGCATGTGGACAAATTTAAACTGCAAGTAAAGCACGAAAACTGCAAGTTTAATGGTGAGAGTAATTAGCCATTGGAACATTTATCAGGCATTCTTGTAGATTCCCCATCACTGACAATTTTTAAAGCAAGAATTGGATATTTTTCTAAAAGTTATTCCCTAATTATTTTGAGGAAGTTCTATGGCCTGTGCTAGACAGGTGGAGAGACTAGATTATCACAATGGTCCCTTCAGAATATGGAATCTATAAATCTAAGATATATAAGTGAAAATGGCTACCTTACATTAAAAACATTCTCTTAAAACTAGGTCCTTCAAATGATTTGGTAATGTAGGTCTTTAGGAGACTGTTATATTTAAAAATGTTGATATATTTATACCTTGAATAGACTGGAAAAAGGAGCGTTTGAAGAGCCAAATCTTCTAATTTGGGGAGTAAATAGAATGTGTTTGTAAAATTGTCACATGCATAATACAATGCATGCATCATTCATGTTTGTATGTTCAAAGTAGATAACTTCGACTTTAAGAGGGTTCAAGAAAGAACTAGATAAATTCATGAAGGTTAGGGTCCATCAATGGCTATTAGACAGGATGGGTAGGAATGATGTCTCTAGCCTCTGTCAGAGGCTGGGAATGGGTGATGGGAGAGGGATTGCTTGATGATTCCCTGTTTTGTTCACTCCCTCTGGGACATCTGGCATTGGCGACTGTTGAAGACAGGACACTGGGGTAGATGGACCTTTGGTCTAACCCACTATGGCCGTTCTTATGTAACTGCAAATACATGCACTCGAGCATGTAATATGTGCATGAAATATGTGCATGAAATATGGTAGATACAGTTTAGACTCTAAATGCATTCCAAACCCAGATTGAATGATTAGAAAGCATGCCTTACAATGATAGTCTCAAAAAACTTCAATGTATTTAGCTTAACAAAGAGAAGGGTAAATGGTGAATTGATTACAGTCACTGAAATGATTGCCAGTGTTAATTTCCATATGAATTTCAGGAGAAGGTTTCCAGAATGGATCGGATTGTTGCAGAGCATCATCAGTTCTCTCATGTCATGAAAGAACTGCAGGACTGGATGGCTGATGCAATTCATATGTTGGAATCTTATTGTCTCCCCACGGCAGACAAAAGCGTTCTGGACAGCAGAATGTTAAAACTGGAGGTATGTAAACAAATGACTATAAAGATGACACACTTGGGACACATTACTCCAAAGGCGATGAAACAGAGAGACTACTATAAGTAAGTTTGCAGAATCCAAACACTAATTTTTCATTTACTTCAAAAAATATTTGAAAAAATGTTGCCTTTTGTGGGTAAAAGGGGCTTATTTTAAATAGGTTAAGGACATAAAGATAAACCAGACTGTTGTAACTTGGAAAATGGTGTAAATATTGAAGAAAAAATTTCAAGATGACACATGGTTAGCTAAAGTTGTAGGGAGAAATCATGATGTTGTCTTTACTTAAACAGTCATACTGTTTGTCAAATACTACAAGCAACTGTATCCATAATATTCTGTTAACGTTTGTTTGTTTGTTTGTTTGTAGCAATTAATACATTGCTTAGTCAGGAGTAGATTGTGCGCCTCAAATAGTCTCTTGCATTGAGGGTGCACTGCCATGCTACAGTTGGGTGAATATTGCACTTAGAGGGAATATGCCGACTGACCCGCATGCACAGATATTGCAATACACCACCACCGCCCATAAAAAGGGTAGACAAACATGTTTATATTTTATTTTTGAAAGATATGCTTTGCTAGTCAGACCCAGCTGTCAGTGCCACCCTCCAGATACCCTCATTCAAGGTGTGGCAGCTCCTTTTCCTAAACCATTTCCTTTCCTTGCAAGAGAAGGACTACATGAATGCCACAACAATAAGACTAAAACAAGGTCTGTTTGTGTTTTAGGGATTGTTATCAGTGAAGCAGGAGAAGGAAATCCAGATGAAAATGTTGTTGACAAGAGGAGAATCTGTTCTGCAAAATACATCTCAGGAGGGAGTCCCTGTCATTGAACAACAGTTACAGACACTTAAGGAAAAATGGGCTTCTTTCTTGTCTTCTTGCATTCACTGTAAAAGGTAAAAAAGAAATGAAGGGGGAATGGTAACAGAAGACATTAGAGTTGAAAATATTAGTGTTCTCTCCAGAAGTTGTTGTGATGGGTTAACTCACAGAAATCCCTTTGGGGTTGTGCTGATCATGGTATTGTAGCTGGCCTTCCTATCCTCTGGGGCTCCCCACCATTCTGTCCTACTGGAGCAGAACCACCAGTCTCCCTCAGCCAAGGTACAGAATTAAGGTTATTGCCCCCTTGTAGAGCAGCACAAACTCTGAATTGGTTCAGCTCTGGGAGGTCTAAGCTAAAAGGACTCAGCACTCAGGAAACCAATCCCTACAAGGGATTAAAACTCCAAATAAAACCATTGTATTACATGTAAAAGTATTACAGAGACAAAGCTCAGAGGGTATGTCTACACTAGCACGTTAGTTTGAGCTAGGTAGGCAAATGAGGGCAACCGGAGTTGCAAATGAAGCCCAGGATTTAAATATCCCAGGCTTCATTTGCATGTTCTCGGGCGCCACCATTTTTAAATTCCCCTTAGTCCAAACTCCGTGCCCGCCGCTACACGCAGCACGGAGAAGGTAGTTCGAATTAGAGATCCTAATTCAAACTACCACTACTCCTCATGGAAGCACTTTTTGCAGAAAAGCGTCCGTGTCAATCTAGATGCGCTTTTGCGTAAAAAAGCCCCAATCGCCATTTTCGCGATCAGGGTTTTTTTGCGCAAAACAAATCTGAGCTGTCTACACTGGCCCTTTTGCGCAAAAGGACTTTGCCCGAATGGGAGCAGCATAGTATTTCCGCAATAAGCACCGATTTCAGACAGTAGGAAGTCAGTGTTCTTGCGGAAATTCAAGCGGCCAGTGTAGACAGCTGGCAAGTTTTTCCGCAAAAGCACCTGCTTTTGCCAAAAAACTTTCCAGTCTAGACGCAGCCTTTGAGTGCATTTCCTAGAGCTGAGAGAGAGCTGTGTTGCTCAAAAACTTGTTTCTCTCACCCATAGAAGTTGGTCCAGAAGTTAACACAGAAGATGTTAACTCACCTACCTTATTTCTCTAATATGTTGGGACCAACACAGCTACACCAATACTGAGTATAATTATAAGAGTAAGACTCAGACTAAGGGAAATTTAGTGACAAATTAACTAAGAATATAATTACAGTCTGAGGACTTGTCTATGCAAAAATTAGTGTGCAGCTAACCAGGATGTGAATCTACAATACAGCAATTTGGCACACTGTAACTAGCCACGTGAATACTGCTACAAGACAGTCTGGGACTCCCCATGCATATGTCCATAGAGCTAACTATTATGTGATGATTTGGTGCACTGTACAATCATACCTTGGCTTGCCACACACTATAATTTGATTGCAAGCTTTATTTTCAGATATTTTAAGTTTCATTCAGTTATTTTAATCACTGTGCCTTATACATACATGGTATGAAAGCCAAATACAAGTAACATTAAGAAAATGAAGGGCCAAATTCTGCTAGATCCTGACTTCAGTAGAACTCTATTATTCTAGATACTTCTTGGAAGGCACTCATTACCTCAAAGGATGGAACAGTACTATGTAAAATATTATGATAGTAATAATATCATCACTGTCGAGGAGAGTCTAGATCATGGGTTCCCAAACTGGGGAGTGCCCCTTGGGGTGAGGGGGCATGAAGAAATTCCGGGGAGGGAGGAGGCCCCCCCTAAGTTTTGCTGCTATTTTTGTTTTTTGGCCCCGGTTGGTTCCTTTTTTTTTTCTCTCTTTCGATTTTCCTCAACAAGTTTTGCTGCTATTTTTGTTTTTTGGCCCCGGTTGGTTCCTTTTTTTTTCTCTCTTTCTCTTTTCCTCAACAAGTTTTGCTGCTATTTTTTTGGGGGGGGGGGAGGCGTTAGGGTTTCTCAAAATTCAAAAAGGAGGCGTGATGCCAAAAAGTTTGGGAACCGCTGGTCTAGATGATAATACTTAAATAAAAAGAAAATATATAAAAATATGGCCTGACACATTGAGCATCATTAATTACTAATGTTTCCAAGTTTTAAACAACCAAGACTATTTATCCTTAATGTATGATAAGATATAAAATATGGAACTTGGAATCAAGACTTGTTTAGATTGTATTCCTTTCAACCATGTTTTACCCATATATGTAGTAGAGCTAATGCACACATGGTTGAGGGATATGCTGGGACTGCAAGCATCTTGTATCTCTTTTGCTATCCCTTTTCTAATGTGGGCAAGTAGCCTCGATTTCAGTGCCCTCCTATATATTAGCCAATCAAAATCTGTTGCAGTTTCTTGCAATTTTTCCAAAGGCAGTTCAGCATATTACATGTCTCCCATCATTCTGTCCTTTAACAAACATAAAACTTGAATAACTTTTTATCATCTTATGTCATTGCTAGAGAAACATAAGATAATGAATATCAATTGATATGCATTTTTAAATTGTAGTCAGTTGGAAGGAGCTCTCTCCAAATGGACGAGTTATCAGGATGATGTTCGTAAATTTTCCAGCTGGATGGACAAAGTAGAAGCAAGCATGAATGCTTCTGAGAGACAGTGTGCAGAGTTAAGGGAAAAAACAGCTATCCTCAGCAAAGCAAAGGTTTGTTCACTGTTACTATATTCTTTAAAAAATCCTCTTGTATGTTAGAATAAATATTGCAATGATGTCTGAACAGACATACAAATATTTGATATCTAGATTCTATCCCGGTGTGCACGCTAGAAATCAATCAATCAGGAGGACAGGTGTTCAGATTGAAGTCCTATTTCCTCATTAAATTCTGCAGCAGCAGCCATTCATTGCTGAAAAAAATACCCCGTGCTATAAACCATACTAGACAGAAAATCTATGCATGGTAGGGTAAAATGCAACTTTCAGACAACAGACTTAAAAAAACAACAACAACAACAACAAAACCCCAACCTCCCAGCCTTAGAGAGAAATCTTCAAGTTTATATTCTCTTCATTCTCTCATATTCTTGTACCTGGTGTGTCAAAATGCTGCCAAATTAGAATGGATATGTTTTATTTTAAAAAATCACTTCTGAACTGGTGTATATAATTACACAGAGTGTGAGGTAACAGCGAATCAGACCCATTCTGCATTATAGTAATATCTTCATAGAATCCTAGAACTGGAAGGAATCTCGAAAAATCATCAAGTCTGGTCCCCTGCACTAATAGCAGGACCAAGCACCATATAGACCAATAGTTCTCAAAGTGGTCCATGAAACCACTTTGAGGAACCTGTTAACTGGCCATGCTGGTATGTTTACTTATCTGCACCATGGCCACAGACCCTTGCAGCTCTCTTTGGCTCTGTTTTGCTCTTTGCAGCCAAGGACAGCTGCGGGAAGTGATGGCCTGGCCCACGCCACTTCCTGTGGCTCTTCTTGTCTGCAAATGGTAAAACTAAGCCAATTGGAGCTGCAAGGCTCTGTTGTTGCAGAGCCAGCAAATAAACACACCAAAGCGGCCAGTTAACAGATTCCTCCAACTGGTTTTGTGGACCACTTTCATAAACACTGAACTAGACCATACTTGACAGGTGTTTGTATAACCTGCTCTTAAATATCTCCAGTGATGGAGATTCCACAACTTCCCTAGGTAATTTATTTCCGTTCTTAGCCACCCTGACAATTAGAAAGTTTTTTCTAAACCTCCCTTGCTGCAATTTAAGCCCATTGCTTCTTTTTTATCATCAGAAGTTGAGAATAATTTTTCTCCCTCCTCTTTGTAACAACCTTTTAGATACTTGAAAATTATTAGCATGTTCCCTTTCAATCTTCTCTTTTCCTGACTAAACCCAATTATTTCAATCTTCTCTCAAAGGTCATGTTTTCTAGACCTTTCATCATTTTTGTTGCTCTTCTCTGAACCTTCTGCCCTTTCTCTACTTCTTTCCTGAAATGTGGCACCCAGATCTGGACACAATACTCCAGCTGAGGCCTAATCAGCACAGAGTAGAACAGAATAATTACTGTTAGTGTCTTGGTTACAATGTACCTGTTAGTACATCCCAGAATGATGTTTGCTTTTTTTGGAACAGTATCACATTATTGACTCTCATTTAGCTTGTGGTCCACAAATGACCTCTAGATCTCTTGCTACAGTACTCCTTCCTAAACAGTCACTTCCCATTCTGTATGTGTGAAACTGATTGTTCCTTCCTAAGTGGAGTACTTTGCATTTTTTTGCTTATTGAATTTCCTCCTGGGTATCTCAGAGCATTTCTCCAGTTTGTCCATATAATTTTGAATTATGACTGTATCATCCAAAGCATTTACAATCCTTCCCAGCTTGGTATCTTCCTCAAATTGTATAAATGTTCTCACCATGCCATTATCTACATTGTTGATGAAGATGTTGAGCACCAAAATTGATTCCTATGGAATCCCACCTGTTATGCCCTTCCAGCATGACTGTGAACCATTGATAGCTTACTCTTTGTGAACTGATAGCCAACTAGTCGTGAATCCACCTTCTAGTAGCTCCATCTAGGTTGTATTTTCCTAGTTTGTTTTTAAGAAAATCATGTGAAATTGTATCAAATGATTTAGTAAAAGCTAGATATCCCACACCTACTGCTTCCCCCCATCTACAAGGCTTGTTGTACTATCAAAGAAATCGATCAGGTTTGTTTTACATGATTTGTTCTTTATTATTCCATGCTGACTGTTACATATCACTTTATTATTTTCTTGATGTTTGCAGATGGATTCCTTAATTATTTGCACCATTATCTTTCCTGGCACAGAACTTAAGCTGACTGATCAGTAATTTCTTGGGTTGTCCTTTTTTCCCTTTTTATAGATGGGCACTGTATTTGCCCTTTTCCAGTCTTCTGGGATCTCTTCCATCTTCCATGACTTTTCAAAGATGATAGCTAATGACTCAGATATCTCCTCAATCAACATTTCATCTGGTCTTGGTGACTGGAAGACATTTAAGTTGTCTACATAATTCTTAACTTGT